TACTTTGAGACAGATGTGCCAGCTGGAAAAACTTACTGTGACAACTGAATCAAGGTGGAAGACTGGTAAATATATTTACCAAATTCATCTTTAACACAGAAGGAAAGTACATAAGCTGCATATGATTGTTCCCATAACATTCTCTTGAAGGACCTTGACATCAAACATAGAAGTCACACAATCGCAACAGGTTTTCTCTAGTTCTAGTTCCTTTATGCTTTTCAATTTTTTAGAAACTAGAAACATCAAATAACTTAAAACACATTTACAAACACCCAATTTTGACAAAACAAAYACTTATGAGAAAGAGAATAGTTTCATCCATGGTACTCACCTATTTCTTCTTATATTACCAATGATACAGCCTACCACAAAGTATGAGGGAACACGAGCCAAGGAAAATTTTTATTCTAAGAATGACCTCTGCAAATCTGAAGCAAATCCCCTGGAGCTACTAAATTTTTATATGCTTTTGAAAGACTGAGGCTACATCTGCTGGAAGAGACACTGAGGAATTCAAGAATCCCGACCTCCAATAATGCATCCATTTCATCAATATATACACCCCTGCCTTTCACTGTTACAAAACACTGGAGTACTTGCCCAAAACAAGCATTGTTCTGTTTCTGCCAAGACACTGGTGGAATGCTTGGCCATGCTTCATCTGTGCTATGAAGAAATGTAAAACGAAAAATAAAAAGTCATTCGATCATAAAAGGGGGAGAGGAGGGAAATGAACAGAATGCTTCCACTTCCACTGCAAGGACATCTTCCCAAAGAAAATTTTTAGAGATCAAATGCTACAGAATGTGTTCGAAAATTGCAGGAAATAAGCTTCACACTGATTTGTTTGGAGTTTTTTTAACCACTGTGGCCAGGGAAAAATTACATAATCAAAACTTCCTTGTGCATATCTGAAAACCAGCTGACATCAGAGAATTATCTTCTCCCCCTTTGAAAACRAATTATCAACAATGTACAATATTTAATAAGCAATCTATTAGTTGTCCTTTAAAGGTCAGTGCATTTGTCCAACACTTTTCCTGTACCACACTTACATAACCTTATTTTCTTTCCACTACCTCTATGTAATTCAGAAGACTATCTAGATTCCCATATGGTTGCCATCAAAAACAGCAGATGMCAAGCAAATTAAAACACAAGTTATGACTTGTAATATGCTGATGTATCATAATTGCAGCATAGCTCATAACTTAGRGTGAATCACCAGATAAAGAAAAGGTTTCTGAGGTGTCAGTGCTTTTTATACGTCTTCCTGATCAGACCAGGTTCAGTGGAATGAAGTGTGGACTGAAATTCAGACCTTAACAAGAGTATACATCCACCATTTCCATCAAGTATAAAAAAACACAGAGAACAATTTAAAACAGCCTTTGGAACTAAAAATCAGCCTAAAACTGTCTTACCAAAGTAAGGGGGAAAGAGGGGGAAATAGTTCTTGCCTTTCATGAAGCAGGGCAGCTTGCTTTGGCCTTTGGCATTGTACCTTTGACATCATTCTACATGGAAACTGAAGCGGGAAGCAGGCATTGTTTGTTTGTTTGCTTTAAGTACAGAAAAATGTTCTCTGTTAGCTCATATTACAGTTTTATGCTTTACCGAGACAAGACCTGCAAKGTCTATTGCAGCAGCTGGCAGCCGAGAAAGGTAGCACACAGAGCGTGTGGCGCCTTCGCACAGGCAGCATGGCAGTGGAGCTGAAGCACAGGTGCGTGCCCCCACGCACAACCAGCAGGACGGTAGCTGAGCAGCAAAGGGAAACACAACRCTAAGTTCCTGCTTTAGATTTACGTGCATTTGTGCCTATCAGTTCTCTGTTCGTAAATATTACTTCGGTGACTGCTCAACGAGCTTTCTTTTTCCACAACAGTATAGTAGTCTCATAAGCTTTTCTCAACRAACACTTCTACACTATTTACCAACTAACACTAAATTTCCAAAATAAATTGAACCTGCAAATATATTTCAAATATTAATTATGCATAGATTCAGCGGATAATATTGTCTTGTACACAGTATGAAACACATATTTAGGCAAGAATACATTACCTGGGGTGATGCAAGCCYGAGAACTATCTTCTAAAAAGCATACTGCCACCCTTACTCACAATTACATACAYAGCACTGGAGTGCAACTTTCCTATATTCATTATCCTAAAAATTCTGTTGTGGTTTTTAAGGCCTGAAATATTTGACCAGCGTAAAACAAAAMAAGACAAAAAGATCTGGTAATTTATTTTGCACCTATTCAATAGCATTTAAAGCCTCAGATTTTTTGTAATAACTTCAGTTTAACTAGCAAGTACAATCATGCCCTGCATAATTTCAGCAGATCTATAATATTCTGCTATTCAACACTGACAATTTTCTTGTCAAAATCATTATTCTTCCAATTCAGTTCTCTTTATTTTTAGTCCATTGTTTTATGATGCAGAATATTTTCTTTGTTTACATTAATATTTTAAAAGGTTGTATTAAAACCACTATATAATAATGCTCRTGCCACGTATCTCCCTGTTTGCAAGATCCTGGAAAGTATCATGGGGTTAATATGATGACCTCTTCATCATTTCAATCTATTTATAACTACTACATTAGCAGCTGTTTTTGATTATTACTTTTTTGGCCCAGTTATTGAAGGGTTTGCTATTACTTCAGTAAAAACAACATTAAAATGCATTGTACAAGGRTATCTGCCAATGTTTTCACCCCAAATCATGAGAGACACGGTCATAAATGCAGGCTTTCTCATAAAGACATTACAATATTCTAAATAAATGACAAAATTCTCATAAAATGCTTGGYCTTTGTGAATTTCAAGAAGGCTAGCCAGGACAACAAATGAAACAATAAGCATTTTGCAAAAGAGAAAATCTGCAAACAAGGGCCACACATCAAGCAAGTGGAAGACTAGGTGATATACAATTACATTTTTTTTCAGGCTTTCAGATTAGCATTCCAGCAGTATAAAGCCTTTGGCCCACATGGTTACMACAGAGGCACACCTGCCATCATGCAGAAGCTGTGCTGCATCAGCCTCAGAAACACAGGAATAAGAAAAAGACTAGCTACAGAACACCTAAAAACATCACCACTTCCCCACTTGCACCTTCAGAGAACAAACTGAGGGAAATTACAGGATATGGAGCTTCTGACAGACTGACAGTGCCTGACAGAGCAAGTTAACATGGTTCTATATATTCCACCACAATCTCCCCTTCTCAGTCCAAGCACACAGCACACAAGTGCTCCTCACACTACGTGATCCCTGCTGAAAAATATCCGTGTTCACAGCAACATATGCCTTGCAAAATCAAAACAAAGAAACAAAGGAAAAGAACTATGGCAAACTCAACCACCAAAAACCTGGTGAAGATTACAATCAGAACAGCTCTGAAGGGTCAGAATACTACAAAAATTGCTACGACTCATCTGCAGGAGTCAGTCTGGGGCCAAGTAAACACTGACATAAATTCAGAGTCAGCTTCACTCTTGCAGCGTAGCTGCTTGTTTAAGGAAAGATATTACAGTATAAAAGTGGATTTAATCAAAWTTCCCATCCTTTCAAAACATCTTCCTCGGGTATCTTTATTTTACAGGAACACAGACCTGAGCTTAGCTATAGAYACGTGCTATCCACGTATCCACCATCCTCTGTTCTCGCCAAGGAGACAATCAGAAGCTCAGCACTGCTTAGGTTTCTTTCCTCTATTCTTCCCTACCTTCATCCACAACCTTCAAGGTGGWMTTGGGGCTTTTTTCTTCAATTCTCCTTTCAGGTCCAAACAAGCCACTATACCGGACATGTATTCAACTTGCTTCCAAAGACCCTCAAAACCACATCCACACTACCTGGGTTTGGTCCCTGTATGGGCCATTTACTTAAGATCCAGACTCATCCTTGTGGGTGCTTCCAACCCAACTATTCTGCCAATCTGTGAAGATGGGTGTCTGCGTGTTTCTCATTGCGGTGAGGAATAATTCATGTAAAGAGGATCACTGTACATGTAAGAGCCTTCACCTGAATTTAACATTTAATGACCTCATAACTCACATGTGAGAATGCTCAACCCCCCCATTCCCTGGCTGTGGTTATGAAATTTGGTGCGAACATCCATGAACAGCTGCTTTGCTTTCAAATCCAAGGCATCAAGAAGATGCTGGAAAAACTGTTACACACAGGTTAYATTTCACTATCCAGTTCTTCCTACTCTACAGCCGGTGGGGAACGGTGCAACAAGACACTGTGCAGAAAGATCAAGCAGCACAGCCAGGAATCCCAACAAATGCCCAAACAGGCCTCCTACGGGCTTGCACTTTAGGGATGGGTGGAAATACTGTTTCCCCCCTCCTCCATCCGATTAGCGCTACTACTACTATGTGTTAACAGCTAATCATAATAAACCATGCGCCATACACAACTTCATCATTGTGAAATCATTAAACAGCACTGTACAAAGAACCCGAGCTGTGATTCTTTTTATTATTTGCATCTAACAGGGATGGCAGCGTACAAACATGCAGATCAATTCCTTCTCCAGGCCTGGGTGCCTGGTTGCTCCCTTCCTCTCCCACCACAAAGCAGAGGTGGGGGAAGGAAGAAGTGAACAGGATAAAAGGACGGGCGGCGGGGGGGCGGCTATAAAGAAGGCACGAAACCCGCTTCGTACTCACAACAAAAGCAATTAGGAGGGCCGGAAGAGAAAAGGAATCGGCACCCTCGGGAGGTGGAGGAATGCAGCACCACAACTTGCCCGGGGAAGGGTTGACCGGTGCCCAGGGGTCGCAGGCGGCGGCCCCTCCGGCCTTGTACCCGCAYCTCATCCAAAATCCTTCTCGCACCCCATCCAAAATCTTCCCCGCGGCCTCACGCCGGGCTGTCACATGCCCCTGTCACCCCCGGCCGTGCCCAGCCTGGGAGCGGCGGCCGGGGAGGAAGAGGAGGAAGCAGAGGAAGACACGAAGCCGACCCCACTTACCCAGAAAATGACATTGAAGCCGAAGATGAAATATTTGATGCAACAACTGACTTCAGGCCCCTTGTAGTGCTTTCCGGACATCCTCTGCGCTCATGAAGACGCTTTGCTCGCGGCCAGGGTGAGAACCAACGGGAGGGGAGGAAAGGGGGGGAGAAGGGGGGGGGGAATAAAAAAAGATAAGAAAACAAAAACAAAAAGGAGGGAGGAAGACTAGGAGGAGCGGGCTGGGAAGACTGGAAGGAGGGTGGGGGCAAGACTATGAGGAGGGGTCCGGAGGCGGTGCGGCAGGCAGAGTTCAGGGCCGGCTCCGCGCCGCGGGGAGATGCGGCAGGAGCGGCGCGGCGGCGGGTCGGCTCCGACTTGCCGGGCGCCGGGGATGGCCGGCGAGCAGCTCCCACCTCCTCCTCCTCCTCCTCTTCTCCCGCATGGAGGAGGCCCCGGCTGCTCGCGGCGGGAGGCACGAGAGAGCGACRAGGAGCTGGGCGGCCGCCGGCAAAGGCGTCGCCGGGGCAGGATCGGCCCGGGCAGAGGCCGGAGCCGCGCGCCCCCTCAGCGCCAAGGGCCGCCGCGCGCGCCGCGCCCCGCCCCGCGGCGTGATTGGCACCGCTCCCCGCCAATCGGAACGCGCGCAGGCCGCCGGCTCCGTGCGCGGGGCGGGGCGAGGCTGCGGCTCCGCCCGAGCCGGACGTGTCGCGCTGAGGGGCTGCATCTCGCCATCCCTCCAGCCTGCCATCCCTCCGTCCATCCGTCCGTCCGTCCATCCCCTCCGACGGCCCGGGGAATGCCGAGACAGCGAGGACTAGCCCCGACTGGCACGGAGAACACCTCAGCAAAGGAGCTGCCAGGAGGGAGCACCGGTTCTGAGGCTGACTGCGGTATTGTGGAGGAGCGAGACCCTAAATCGCACCGTGGAGGTGTTCTCAATGGGCGCCGTCAGATCGCTTCCCACACGCAGGAACGCATGAAGAACCATTTTACAGTGATTGCTAGAGTTTATATTTTAACATCCCCTGAGTTTATATTGAACCTGACAGCTACAAAGTTACGTGGCTTAGTTGTATTCATATGCTGTTTGGGATTCAGAGTCGATATGGTCTGGCATTAACAGCATAATTAACAAGTTTCTTTGTTAAAGAAAGTCATCATTTCAATAGATCAAGCCTGCGAAGTTTTCTGGTCAGCTCTAAGGAAAAGGCTGGGGTAGAGGAGGCTCAGGGGGACCTTATTTCTCCCTACAAGTCCCTGACAGGAGGGTGTGCTGGGGCCTCTATTCCCAGGGAACCGTGACAGGATGAGAGGACAYGGCCWCAAGCTGTGCCRGGGGAGGTTCAGGTTGGACATCAGGAGGAATTCCTTCACAGAAAGGGTTGTTAAACTTTGGAATGGGTTGCCCAGGAGGTGGTGAARTCRCCGTCCCTGGTTGTTTAAGGAAAGACYGGRCATGGCACTTAGTGCCATGATCAGGTTGACAAGGTTGTGATTGGTTAAAGCTCGACTCGATTTTTCCARCATAAATTGGTTTTGTGATTGTGTGATTCTGCAAGTGCAACTCTTAATTCAATAGATGGAAGACTTCTTTATAATAAATTACGTTTCCCATCTCTACAGGATTGCAAGATAACACACTTCAAAAGCATGATACTGTTAGAACTACAGAACACAGTCTTGGTTCAAGATCACATCATATCGGTTTATGGGGCCTTGTCGTGAGTCTTTTTTGAGAGCAAAGAGAAATATTTGTTTGTCACATCCGGTAGATGTGGAGAAGAAGAAGCATCTGCTGAAATGGATCCATGAAAATAATGTTTTTGGTAAATGAGAAACTAATGCTGCACATCTATGCACTTTAACCGTGACTGTCTAGTTTATCACATGATTTTTATCTCTGTGTCTATTGTTACACTGTCTTTGCAAGACCATCCACGGGAAGAGGGTAGAATATCAGTAATGCACATGTTCTGTACTAGCACATCACCATTTACATTAGAGTATGGTAATAATGTATTATATTAAGGTGCTGTTTTTACAAGGGGCTTCAAATATTGGTGACAACCTGTACAAACATTTACAATGTTACTGTCATAACACGTGGTGTTGGCACTCTTTAGCATTGTAATTCTTCACAGRCAGAAGAAAAATATTGCAGAGTAATATTTATTTATTTATGATAAATTGAGTCACAATATCAGATGTTTTATCTATTAGTCCATTCATTCCCAACAATTCTCAAAAAGAAATGCAACCTACATCATTTATAGCATCATATTACATGAGTTCACTTGCTTTCTCAATTGAGTGCAGTAGGATCATTGCCCAGTGTCTTTTTAAAGCCAAAAGCATTTCACATTGTCCCATCAKCTGATCAGCTTRAGGATGTCTGGTTTTAAGGTTAGACTGCTCACTTGAAGAGGGTATTGAACACAGAACCCTGCTCTTTTTAATTCAYTGTGTGCGTAATAAGCAAGCAGATAGCAAAGGCAGCAGAACAGCTTTGATGTRGGTAATTGATCTTTCAGAATGCCAGCTGTAGCAGAGCTTTCTGCACCTGCAGCAGCCACTCTGCTTTGCAAACACAYTTTGCCTCCTGTCCTAAACAAACARGGATAGAAAATTCYCCGTCCTTCGGCTTTGTGCCATCTCTTGTGGATTGCTTCTTGCATTCTTTGGCCACCTAGGCCTGRAAGCTGAGCAAGATGACTGTGACAGCACTTTAAATTCACTGTTAGCTACCAGTCAACACTGAATTCTACTGTGATGTTTTGGCACAAAAGCCTGAGGCGATACTAAGCAGGAGCAATATTACCTTTTCTTGCGGAAGGGCAAGACAGTTATTCAAATTCCATCAGTTCATAATTCATCTGACAAGGCACAGGAGTACTAATGGCAGTATTTCAATGACAAAGCTGGTTGTAGCAGCACACTGCTTCATGACWCCAGGAATGCTTTGATTTGCTACTGACATTGAGAAAAAGTTCCATCCAAATTACTAAATCTACTTCCCACTGTAAGATGTAGATATCAGTGGACTTCTTCTGACTAAAGACTGGCCAACTCTAATGCTAATAAGTGTGACAAGTTGGAGAAGTTCATATCTTAAAAGAGGAATAGTTGCAGACTCTGAAATTCTTACTTCCCACCAAGTAGAGAGTCCTCACCCCAATTCCTCAAATCAATCATTCCTTAGATCCAGTACCTCTGYCTTTGTGTCAGCTCCTGTTTTTTGATCTATGAATTCTTTGACGTTTTCCAGGGAAAAAGAAATGCAAACACGAGTGACTCAAGAAGAGAAATGGCAGAGCAGCACAGTGAAGGCTGGAGTTCCGTGAGTTAAAGCATTGCCAATCTCTGTGCCACATGCACTGAAGTAAAGAGCTGTGGTGTAAGAAAAGCTCAGTGTCTATGTCCATAAGTCTAGTTATTTCCTAGACACCTCATTTTAGTGGGAATRCATAGGATAGCAATCTTTTTCCATGGGGAAACCCTGGAGATTTCTGACAGACGAGATTCATAGAGTCAGAGGTATTACCTACCTCAGAATAATTTTCAATCTAAGTAACATACTAGCTCATAATGCCATTTGTTTTCATTTCCTTGTTTTGCAACTATGAAAACATTTTCTTTTCTGCCTAGCAGAAGTGTGAGCCCTGATGAGGGGACATTTTTCAGGTTTAGAAGAAATGCTGAGATAACAATTTCATAGGATTAAACTCAAATAGTGATCCAAGTTGTATTGGCCTCGGTGGAAGCACATGCTGTGCCCCAGACATGAATTTGACTTTCAGTTTCCCTCAGGAATAACAAGTGCAAGGACTGACTAATTACTGTTATGGGTAACGCTGGTGAGTATTGAGCTGCTTTTTCACATGAAACTTAGCTCTCAATACTAGATAATAATATCTTGCAGGACCAACCCAACATCATTATAATGTGATAACATTAATTAACCTAATGTTTAGGATGATTCACAAAGCATGAAGCATGTCTATACACCTACAGGGTCACAGGCCTTCTGAAGCTAAGGCATGCCAAAATAACAGCCAATAACCAATTGCATCATGTCTGATTTTACTTTCTGTGAAGTGTATAGGAGCCTTTATTTCCTTTGTGAAAATGCTGCCATTTTTGTGTCAGGCACCTCGAGCTGCTGCCTCTGCTGCTTGTGAGAGGAAGGGGTGGGAGTGGAGGCACACTTCCTGCCCATGCTGTGCAGGCAGGGGCAAAGGAGARTGCTGCAGCTGTACCACTGTGATGCTTGGGGAAAACACCCTGACACACAGCTGTGTTTCTGTGGTGGGTGCTGTGCCTCAGCAAGCCCCTGTTCTGGAGCTTTTACAGAGCTCTTTCATATCAGGAATTATCCCCTGGCAAGTCAATGGAGCCAATGGTGAAGCAAGAATAGTATGATATACCTGGTTGGTAGCTCACTGTCACACATTGGCACTGTCACACATTGGCTCTGACACCCAAACTGGCTCCAAAGGACATTCATTATGAGATATTTCTCACAACCATTTTATGGACATGACAATGACAGGGTTTAATGAGATAAAACATATGCATTATTCTAGAAAAAGAGACACAGATTTGCAGTCCTAAATTCAGGATGACTGCAATCAGTGGGGGTAATCACCTCCCCTTGCATTATTGGTGCTACTGGACCATGGTCATTAGTATGGATGTTAACTTAGACTCCAGTAAGTGCCAAATTTATCTTTTTAACTTTGTATTGCGAAAAGCATTGGACAAACTCTGCAGATTTGGAAGCTGCACACTTCCCAAGCATGGACTATTGCTTCTGTACACATGAAGGTTCAGGTGTAATTCTTGACTGGGCTCTGTCCAAAAGGACGACCAGTTTTTATCCTAAGACAGAACACTGTATGATTTTCTTAAAGTCCATTAGTTTTTTCAAGGCCCTCTGAGCTGCTTTCTGCTATTCTTCATCACACAATTCAGAGGTTTAACTCACAGTGTTTATTCTGTAATCCCACTCAGGAGAGTGACTATTTCCTCTGAGTGTGTTTTTAACAGTGATAAGATTTTCTACAAATCCACCATTATAAGTAATCTTTGGGAATGTTTCCCYGCAAGGATTTCCTTTACTTGGGCCTAAACCCCCTGAGCTTCTCCCATCCCTTCTCCTGTGAAGATTTTTGTTTCTCCTGGGAGCCTGGATCAGAGTTTTCCTCAAGAACAATCCCTCAGGAATCATTCTAGCTCCTCTTTCCAGGAACATCTGTAAACCTGTCAGAAGGTCAGGGAGTGCAAGCAGGTGGTGGGATGAGAGAGT